TTTTTACTTAAAAATCTGAGAAAATAGAGGAGTTGCTTTCAAAATTTTTGTATTTAGTTCTGGATTGTATTTGTTTTTCTTTTTTTTTTCTATTTACAAAACTAGTTAGTTGCTTGGAACAATGATGGATCAAAATTCACTCCATACAATAGGAGCTTCTCTAAGCTCAAATCCATAAAGATGCGTTCCTCTAGCTCCTGTCTGTCCCAAGGGCATTTCCTCTTCAGAAAGTCAAAGAAAGGCTTCTTTAGTTCCTGATTTCTTTTTTTCCCTGTTTCTGGATGCCTTCCCAGTCCTTTGAGCGGGTGCTGGTGGAGAACAAGCTGCACGGTCTGTCACCAGCGCTGTCAGAGGCCATCCAGAGCATCTCCCGCTGGGAGCTGGTCCAGGCCGCCCTGCCTCACGTCCTCCACTGCACCTCCATCCTGCTGTCCAACAGGAACAAACTGGGTGAGACACGCAGAGACAATGTGTTTTTTTCCTGTCATTCAGAAATGTATGGAGGGAATTGTGTTCCATTCTTGTTGCAAGCAAAGAGTATATTTTGCTAATGGACATTTGAAAAAAACGCAATCCAGAAATGACACTGCAAATTGATTATTAAAATGATTTATTTGAATAAATTTTTCATTTCTCTATTTTTTTCACATATAAATGCATCTTCAGTTATCACACCTAATGAAAAACTGCAACCACAACTATGTACTATATATCTACCGGTATACTATAAAAGCTACAATTGGAAAAAAGTTTTCAGTTTATGGATTGTATTTTTCTTATTTCAATTGCTAAAGTGCTGAATCCCTTTGTGGCGAGCATTATAACCAGAAGTAAATATTTAAAGATTTTGGAGCAGTCAAAATGTATGAAGCATGTATATAAATACTATATATATATATTTTTTTTTGAGGAAATGTGATCGTTTTATTCTGCACCAATCAAGATGTCCGTTAGATGTAAAAATCCACAGATTTTTGAAAAATCAGTCATTTTGATAATGTTTTGCACCTATGACCTTGAATTGAGCCACAGAGGTCAATTTCACTGTTTTTTAAAGACAGAGCACCTATGGGTGTGGTGGTGGAAGCATGGGGTCACCTTAACACAAAATAACCAAGTTGCCTCACCTTTGGTGATGCTTTCTTTTTTGCTAATAAATGTTTATTTCTCTGTTAAACCTCCAACAGGCCACCAGGATAAGCTAGGTGTGGCTGAGACCAAGCTGCTGCACACGCTGCACTGGATGCTGCTGGATGCCGCCCAGGAGTGCAACCATGAGCCCATTCTGAGCCAGGGATGGTCCCGGGGCGGCAGCAGCAGCAGCGCCTTCCTCCAACCCATGGGGAATCAGGGATCTTCCCCCGGAGCTCCCGGCTCTGGCTCCGGGTCGGCCCTCGGCGGGTCGGGGCGGCAGAACAGCAGCTCCCTGCTGGAGGACGACGAGCAATCTCGAACCAAGTTGTTCCAAAAGAGTATGGCCACGGTGGAGCTGTTCGTGTTCCTGTTCGCGCCGCTGATTCATCGCATTAAGGTCTGCCAGTGTTCAGAGTTCTGAAAAAAGCTGCACAGACGTTTCCTGGACTCTAAATGCTGTGTGTTTAGGAGTCGGACCTGACCTTCAGGCTGGCCAGTGGTTTGGTGATATGGCAGCCCATGTGGGAGCACCGGCAGCCCGACATCCCGGCCTTCACCTCACTAATTAAACCAGTCCGGAACATTGTGACGGGTAAGGACCAATCCCCGCTGGGGGTCCTGCTTTTATTTGTTTATGATTAGGATAATCGACTCTGCTCTGTCCTGGCAGCAAAGAGAAACTCCCCAGTCAACAATCAGTGCAGCCCCCATGGATCTGCTAACCAAAGTCCCATGGTGAGTTGGTGTATTTAGCTCCCATCTTGTCATATTCAGCTTCCCTTGTTGATTAAATGTGTTCAGGCAAGAGTCGGAGCATCCTTCCCCCTCCTTGTATCTGCCTCTAGGGGCCGACTGCTAGTATTCATTAACACCAGCCAATCGGGAGCTAGGGAAGCTGGGATAATGACAGTAACCCCCCCAATGTCTTTAATCACCAGGACATGTCTGCTCTCCTTCCTGCCTCTAATGTGTCCATCTTTAACCCACAGGGCTTCCAGGTGGTCTGTGAGGCCAGTCAGTCCGTTTCCTCCTCCCCTGCAGCTGGTGAGCAGAGTTGTCGTCCGGCCAACTCGGTTGAGAAAGGGGGCACTTCCCAGCAGCCCCTGCCTGTCAAAGGCCCTGCTAAGAAAAAGTGAGTACCACTATTACCCTGGAGCTGCAGTCCCAAATCGTTCAGATTTTATGTTTTTTTTTTTTATTTTAGACATTTCAAAGAATCTTCCTACTGACAGCCAGGTCACAGTTCAAAATGTGGATCTGATAAATTAGCCAACTACAGAGTTTGAGTAGAATAACAGGAGGCTGAAGAATATCAGATATTATTTATATATAAATATATATATATCCATCCTTAATCTATATTTAGATTATGGATGGATGGATGGATGGATGGATGGATGGATGGATGGATGGATGGATGGATGGATGGATGGATGGATGGACGGATGGATGGATGCATGGATGGATGGATGGATTGATGGATGGATGGATGGATGGATGGATGGATGGATGGATGGATGGATGGATGGATGGATGGATGGATGGATGAACATATGGATGGATGCATG